CCAATACGAACTTAGTGAGCAAATTATAGAATAAAGGCATCTAGCTGTATCTGAAAAAGTGTAGCCTTCTCCGTAATTATATTATATAAAAATGGGAGAAGGCTACACATTTCTAGTATGTAATCGGGTATATGTATTTTGGGTAGTCTTCTTCAGAAATATTATATAAAATAATGGAACTTGCCTACCCTATCACTAGTATGTGCTCAGGTATTGGTACTTTCATTGACGCATTTATTTTTTCATCCCTCGAAAAAGAGACATATAGCAAGCTAGTAAGCAAATCGTAAAAGAAAGACAAGAAGATATGTATATGAAAGTGTAGTCTTCTGCGTAATCTATTATATAAAAATGGCAGAAGACTACACTTTCTAGGTATGTACTTGATATGGTATAGCATTCGCGTAAGACTTATTCGCTTAATTTTGGCCAGCACTATTCCGTATTTTTTTATCAGAATTTTAGACGCAATAACTCAGCACCCAAGCGGGCATAAAACTGGCAAACTAATAGAACCTCTCTAGCTCCCGCCAGTTCCATGACAGTTCCAGGAGAGTTCCATGACACTACCAGGATGCCATCACGACGCCATCACGACACTAAATTGGATCCCTAAATCACATGCCCAAAAGATCAGCCAGAGTTATAGCATAGAGCTGGCAAAAATTAATCGCAAATTCACTGCGCCACCCGTCACCTCTTTTTTTTACACCATTTCAGTATTTTAAAGGGCAACCAAAAAGGCACAAAAAAGAAGCATCCTCGATATCTTAACAGGCCACCAAACAGGCCCAGAAGCAGGTAAATAAATGGATAGCTCTTTAGGAATAAAAAGAATACAGATTAATGTAAACACATGAATAGTTCCTTGATAAAAGAAAGGCCGTAGATAAGCGGAAAAATACACTCCATCAGATTATGACACTACCGTTAGATTATATAATAACCACACTAATAGATCATGTCACCACCGACCTACCATAACGCTATATATCAGGAATTAATTAAAATAGTAGTTAGAAAGCCGTAAAGATAACTAAACTATAGGTTATGAAACCACTTGTAGATTATATCACCACATTAGATTACGACATCAGGTTATGACACCACCACTAGATCACGACATTAGATCATACCACCACTATTAGATTATGTTACCATCATTAGATTATATCACCACCATTAGATTACATAACCACTATCATAACCATTAGATTATTTCACCACCGTTAGATTATATCACCACCATTAGATTGTATCATCGCCGTCATAACCTAACTCAAGTCGCCGGGGTTCTTTGATATAATTATATCAAAGAACCCCGGCGACTATTATTTATAAATTTTTATATTAAAATTAATTTGCAATTTATTAAGTTGTAACTTTTTAATTATAAAATCATCTTTTAAAAAAAAAAGATGCTATTTTTAATTTTATTATAAAATATATTTATGTATATTTTAAATGTATTTATATATATTTTAAAATATATTTTGTTTTAAATTTAAATAATTATAATTAAATTATATTCTGAAATAAATATATACTTACCTTTAATAATAAAATTATATAAATTTAACAATATTAATACAAATTTTTTTTTTATATTTATTAAGACTTACTTAATAATCTTTAATAAATATTAAATTTTTATTTATTAAACTATTACTAAATCTATATTTTACTTTTATTTTTTAATGAAGTAAATAAGTAATTTTTTTATTTATTTTATTTGTTAAGTAATATTTTAACATATCTGAACATTTGACTGAAAGCCATTTGATCAAATCTATTTGCTACTGCATTAAACATTACATATTAATTGATACAGTTACTATAAAATTGTTATTTATATTATGTATATGAGTGACAAATAGTTTTCAATTAAATGACTTTTAATCAAATATACCATAACCATATTTTAATATATTAGTATTAAATTATTTTTTAAAAAAATAATATTATAATAAATAGTCTAAATGTATAAGAAATAATAAAAAAGTATAAAACTACAAAAAATAAAAATTTTATTTTATATGCTAAATATAATTTTATAATTTTTAGTAAAATAAGTTCAAATTTAATATTAATTAAAAATAAATTTTTTTAAAGTTTTATATCTTTCTGATGCAAAATACATATACAGACTACTTACTTACAGAATAAAATGATTTTAACAGATAAGTGTATAATAAGATTTAGATATAATAATATAAAATTTATACTAGGAGAGTACTAGTTAATTTATAATATGTAACTGAATTATATTTTTAAGTAATATATTAGCTAGCTTATGCTTAATAAAATATTTAAATAATTATTACAATTAAAGTATTATGAAATATAAAATTGAAAATTTAAAAACATATTACTTTTCAATTTTTTGCATATACTAAGCTTCATTATATGATTTAATATTAAACTTTTTGGATGTTTCTTTTGCAAAAGAAACCAAATAATAATTGTATAATAACATTTTATATTTTATAATTTTTGAGTTACTGAATCCAATTTTTTGTTATAATAATGCCTTTTTTTTAAAAAGATAAATTCTATAATTATACTATTACTTACACAAAATCGAACTTAAATGTATTTTTAAATTTTATTTGATGAATTGTAATATATTAATTCAAACCACAATAAAAATATTTCATTTATGTAATTGATAATCAATATATTACTAAAAAAAATAGGCTTAGTTATATATGATAAATTAATTAAAATATCTAAATCAAAACTATACAATACTTTTGTTCTCTTCCAATATATCTTTTAAATAATTATATAAATTATAAATCTAAACTTAATTATTTAGAACAAATAAAAAATAATTTTCTATATTAACCCTTGAAAATTTTTTTTTTTTTTTTACTAATATTACCTATTCATACTCCTGTTTATTTTATTTTTAATTATTTAGAAAAAATAAAAACTGAATAAATAAAACAATAAACTGTAATGGCTTCTATTTATTTAGTATTATTTATATTATTATAATATTTAATAAATATTAAATTTATAAAATATGAATATTAATCAAAGTAATAAATATTTGAATAATTTTAAATTATCAAATAATATATTTAGAAATATTTTAATATTATTATAATCAAATTTAAGGAATATATATATAGTAATAAGATTAATTTCTAATTTTTCTAATTCTTAAAAATTTAAATACTTAAGATATTAAATTAAAAAAATTAAAAGCTTTAAGATTTAAATTATAATTAATTAGTATTTTGAATTATATATTTATTTTATTTATATATATTATTTATATTAGTTATTTTTTAAAAAATAATTATGATATTTTAAATTTAAATATTAAAATTAAAAATGTATTTCTAAATATTTTTAGATGATTTTAAGTTTTAAGATATTTAAGATTAAACTATTTATTTATAATAAATATTTTTACTTGAACTTTTTAATAGATTTTATTTTAAACTCAATATAATTTAATCAAGATTTCGGATTTAAAATAAGATATTTTAAAGGTTTTAAAAAAGGGTTTAATTTTTAAGCTATATATTTAACAAATAGCATTATTAATTCAAAGTTTAAACTATCATTTTTATTAAAATTTATATTTTGAAATATTTAGAAAATTTATAAATAAATCATTAAATATTAAAGTATAAATTTTCTATTATACAGTAATCCAGTTAGTATAAATTAATATGCAATTTTAAATTTATGATAATTATATTACACAACAAACCACTTTTTGATTGGCTGGATAAAAATCTACCGAGTTTGGGGATCATGACAAATTCCTTGGGGAAAGGTAAATATATTAGGAAATTGGTTTACTAATTTACCTTAATTAAAAAATAAATAGTTAGCCTCAACTGATTGAAATAAGAATGACAAATTTTTTTTATGAATAAGGAATCCTTAATAATTCTCTCTCATTAAAAAATGTCGGATAATTTAGGATATGAAAATCTGAAAGAACTTGATAATTTAGAAATAATTGTGATTGTTGATGAAGATGTTGACCCATTGTCTAGTTCGAATATGAATATCGGAAATATCACAAGTAAATTAATTTAATTGTAATTGACTAAATTAAATTTAAAAATAAATTGTAATTATTTTATTAGCTGAATTAAATAGAGATTTAATAAATAAAAAGGAAACTTTGGATTTTACGGAATATTGTTGTGGTGCTCATGGTTATTCCATCCTTATTGTAAGTTAAATAAGTTAACTTGCAAAATGGACAATAGAATTCATTTTTTAAAGAAATATAATTTTTTTTTAAAAACAGACGGGGACATGCGGTGTTGAATCTCATTCAGTGTTGTTTGACGCTGGACAATATGGACAGATTTTTATAGAAAATTCAAATAAATTAGGAGTGGATTATTCCAAAATCGAAACTGTGGTAAATTTCAAAATCAAAAAAAAATTTTTTTTATCTTGCTATGTAGCTTTTTTTTAATAGAATTTATTAAAATTTTTAAAAGGTATTGAGTCATTGGCATTGCGGTAAGCGTGAAGGAAAAAATAAATTTCCTAACCAATTGTTCTTACATGACGTCAATTTCGTTAGACCATTCGGATGGATTACCAAGTGCAATTGAAGCAATAAGTGAAGCGAGGCGCGGTCATTCTTCAAAAGTAATTATCGATTTACCAAAAGAAAGACCATCTCGTCGAGGAATTAGACTTCCAAAGAGCGATAACGTAATGGTTATTAATAATCCCACATTTGAAGAACTCGAAAAAGCCGGCGGTGAGATAGTTAAATCAAGTGAACCTCATACAATATGCTCAAATTTCTTTTATGTAAGTGGAAGAATATCTCGACAAACTACGTATGAGACAGGAATCGTGAATCATGTAGCATACGATGAAAAATTATCAACATGGAAGGATGATCCGTTAATTAATGAAGAAAGATTTTTAACAGCAAGAATTAAAAATAAAGGATTAATTGTGTTTACAGGATGTAGTCATGCAGGAATCGTTAATACTTTATTACAAGCTCAAAATCCACTTTCTAATAAACAAGAAGAAAAATATCCGATTTATTTGGTCATGGGAGGATTTCATCTAGCTGGTTATGATCAAGAAAGTAAAATTAAAGAAACAGTAAGAGATTTAAAAGCATTAATTAATCCCGTTTATTTGGCTCCCGGTCATTGTTCTGGATGGAGATGCAGTGCTGCTTTAGAATATCAATTGCACGAAGGTGAAGCCGCATTTGCCGGAAGAGTTGCACCATCTGCTGTTGGAAAAATTTATACCATTTCTTACAAATAATAAATATTTACCAGTAAATTATAACAATCTATTAATAATTTTTTATAAATAAATAATTGTTTTAGTACCACCTTATTTAATTTTAATTTTTAAGGTAATATTGTTAAACACGACATGGAGTTCCTTCAAGTATCACAGATTCATTCATCCAATATCAAAGATTATATTATATATATACAATATATATATATATATATTATTTCTTTCTGTTGTGCCATAATTATTTTTTCATTTACAAATTCAGTTTGAGTTTGTTCGAATTTGATTTTCAAATATTGGATCAAAAAGGATTCATTCATGTATTTATTAAGTAATTTCATTTTATTAAACCAATCTTTCAAAAAAAAAAAAATTATGACTTCATGATTGTAATTGTAATAGATCTTTCAAACAAATCCCGCATTTATTTAGATAATAAATACACCGATCTCGTGACCGAGTTCAAAACAGCAATGACGTAACGTGGATTCACTAAAAATGATGATATTTAAAATATTTAAAATTAGCCAAATCAAGTTTATAACTTGATATAAAAAAATTTTAGAATTTTATATACAATAAATATTATAACTTATAACCCAAATTTACGCTTTCTCTAATCACTAACCCATTTTTTTCTCTTTAAATATCCGAGGGTTCTTCTTGTGAAGGAAAGTCGGTATTATTAAATACAATGACAAGTCCGCTGACAATCTCTCTCCCCTTTACTATGTCAGCAACATCACCCATTGACTTAACGAGTTCACCGGTGCCTAGAATAGTAACATCAGATGAAGTTGTAATAATAAGTGATGACGAGCCTTCTTCTATTTGTAATTACACAACAATTGGTGTCGATAACCAAAATAATTTGCATTCTCCAACAACCTCAAGACATTCTAATAACAATCAAGCTTCTACAATCAGCAATGTCAACTATAACCTTAGAAATGGATTAACAGGACTCGGTACGCATGGCACACATTCTTCTAATGGGGGTGGCGGCCCTATTAGGAATACCTCAACACGTTCTCGAACGCATAGTAGACCTCCTTCAACTTTAAGGGGTAGGTTTCTTTTATTTAAATTTTAAATGATTACTTAATAAGATCTAATTTACGAACAATTTTTTTTTAAAATAAATATATAATATCTTAGACTTATTTATAGTGAGCGCTCAATCTAATAATAATGGCCTTCGCCATCGACAACATCATTATAATTCGGCGTTTCATCGATATGCTTCATCAATACCTACGGTACCAACTTTTAACACAAATTTAAACAATGAGATGCAAATACACACCACTCCAACACCGCCACCGCCACCATCATCATCAGTTTCACGTAAAAGAGCTAATAATTCTCCTAAACCAACAAAGACGACAGAGGGACATACAAGAGATCTAGAAGAGTCTCATATATTAATTTGTGCTGGTTGTAATGATTTACTTCATGAAAAATTATGGGCTTTAAATGGTTGTGGGCATGTAGTTTGTGGTTCTTGTGTTGATAAATTTTCGGGAAAAAAAAAAATTGCCTGTCCTAGCTGTAAAAAAAAACCAACTTCTACGTTACAATTATATGTGTAATAAGATTTTGAATTATCGAAAATCAACATGAATTATGTCAAATATCTTCTTCTCTATATCTTTATTTCTACGTGGACTTTCCTTTATTCCTTCTTCGGTATTTCTAATTTTTTATTGTTAGTCCTCCCTTGTAAAAAAAAAAAAAACGAACAGGTTGATTTGGTAATTTAGAACAAAAAGGTTAATTTTTTTTATTAGGTTATATGACTTGGAAAGAAAAAAAGGAATTGATTATTTATTTGGATTATAAAGAACGTAGTAAAGAGAAGATATTATTTGTAGATATGAATTTTTAATTAAGTGACTAAAACAATAACAAAAATAATAATTTATAGAATATTTTGTTTATTCAAAAAAACATTTTCACAAAAGTTTCAAATATGTATAATTTCATTTATTTCATTTTATTCACATGTACAAGCAAAGGAAATGTTTTCGAAGTATAGAATAATTAAAATAAGATTTAAACAAATACTATATAAGATATAAATAGATCCACTGAAGGGATGAAAAATTAAAAAACTTTATAAGAAATGTTAGTTGTTTATTATTTCCATTATTTCCCTTTTAAATTTTATATTCACTTTCTTGTTTTACATTATTTTTTTGATCTGATGTGAGGGAATTGTCTGTCTTCTCTTTATTATTGTTGTCCTGAATTATTTCATCGTTTGAATGTTGAACATCTGTAGAACCTGTTGACATTTCCTTTGGTAAATCTTTAGTCGTAACAAATTGATTCTCAGAAGTATTGTTTTCCTTTTTATATTCCCCGTTCTCAAATTCATCATTTACGAGCGTTTTATTTAATTCGGTACCTTTTTTAGGTACGTTAATTACTGATTCGGGTGATTCATCTATTTCCATCGCTGTAGTAATAATTTCTTCAGGTGGCATTTGATTAGACTCGTGGGGTTGTGTGCTTGTTACTGCTTCAAGTGATTCAACCCCATCATTATTATTCGCACCAGATAATTGATTGTCCTCTTGAATTGTTATAGCTTCTGTGCCTTGTTCGAGAGATACTTGACCAGGTTCCTGAGTTTGTAAGTTCATTCCCGATTCAAGTGACTCGTTAATTATTTCCATCTCCTCACTTTCATTATACGCAATAGATTGTTCGTCCTTTTGTTTTGTTATGATCGTATTAATTTTTTCAAGTGTTTGACTAGGCTGCTCCTGTGTTTTTGTGTCTACTTCTTTTATGTCTTCTCGTGTTTGAGTTGATTCGTTACTCATTTCCATCGTCTCACCTTCACCATTTGCAACGGATTGTTCGTTCCCTTTGTTAGTTATGTTTGTAACATTTATTTCATGTGGTATTTTGCTAGTTTCATGAATTAATGTGCTTATTGTTGCTTCAGAAGATTTTTCAGCTATCTTTTCACTCTCATTACTCGAAAAAGATGCTTTCTTCTCTCTTTCGATCGCTTGAGCCAATCGACCTTGCAAAAATTCGAAAACGGGTTCAATGGCTGCACCAGAAGTATATTCATGTTTTGGATGGCCTTGATTATGATTTAAGTAGATGAATAATGATGATAATGAATCATTAATCATTAGAAGAAAAAATAAAGCAAAAGATTCCTCACCAGCTGATGTACAATGACATCCATAAAATCCGTTTGCTTCGCGCACAGGTTCATTTAATGGCAAAGGAGATTTGATCCAATTTGTGGTACAACCACGGAACCATTTGTCAGAATGTTTTGGTATCATTCCGAAGCTATGCACACTATCTGTAAGCGCAATTCCTTTGACACGTGATCTAAAATCATTGGCTAATAAAAAGTTAACAAAAAATAAAAATATATTAAATAAAGTCAATGATAAATTTATTAGATTGAAAAAAATGTGTTTACCAAAATGGTCTATCATATAAGAAGTGCAAATGCCACCAAAACTATGCGCTACGATAAGAATTCTTTTCGCTATTGTCTTCCTGTTAAGAGAGAGAATTCTAGAATGCGAAAAAAAAATAAGGTTCATAAGGATGGAACTTTCTTACCTTACAAACCTATCCCACACGTATAGACAATGATCTTGTGGCGATTCTGAACCTTTTATACGTGCGAAACCAATAACCTTGAATAATGAATTAATAGTTAATAAGAAATTATAAGAATTAATTAAAACATAAAAAAAAAAAAAAAAAAATCCGAACTTCTCCATTTTTTGTGACACGTCCAATATTTGCATTGGGATTAAATATAATAATTCCCCATTTTAAATCTTGGGCCTTTTTGATATAAGGGAACATGGTTCCAAGCTATATTAAACATCCAAAATGCAAATTAGATAAAATAACAGAATCATTCAAAGAAAGTCAGAATACAGGATTTCTTACCTCAAGAGAATCGTTAATGATAACTATTGATCAATCAATTATAATTTAATTAATTAATTAATGCAAATCAAAAATTAACGCGTTTTTGCTAATAAATGATAATCTATAAGATCTATAAGAAACCTTGACGTGCCCATTGTCCGGGTCGCACTACTCCACTTCCTTGAATTAGCAAAAGCAGATTTTGACAATCTTGGGCATCTTCACTACATGAAAATATTTAAATCAGGAATCGTAATTTTATAGCGCCTTTTTTTTTCTTTCTTTCGTAGGTACCTGAGATAAATTCTACTTTTTGGAAAGACGACATCTTCATCTTCATCTGATTCTACCGGAATCGTTTTTCTGATGAGATTATATTTATTCACTAATTCTTCTTCAATAAATTCACCAATTACCTCTTTACGATATAAATGAACATAAATTTAATAAATCATATAAAATGTCTTAACATATATAAAATAAAAAATGATTATTCCTGATATTATTAAATTAAACAATGAATAAATAAATGAATTTTACAGTACCACCCAATGCTTCATAGTGGTTTTGGTTATAAGAACGATCGTCGGGTTTAACAACGAACAAAAATCTTTCGTCTAATTAAATTTAACGTCAAAAAAAAAATTTGTATTAATTAATTTGGAGGGTTTTTTTATATATATATATTTCTGCAAAGCATACTCGTTTCAATATGTCTTAATTCTCCATTTTCATTAAATTTGTATCCAAACCCTTCGATATTTTTTGGAAAATCAAATACTTCCGTAGCTAACACCATGACCAAATACTTTTATAAACACGTAAAGAGAGAGACGGGCGTCAAAGAAGTATTTAAATAAAAAAAATGCCAGGAATTTTTTCAAGTTGGAAACTCCGTAAATGAACATATGATACGCAATATAAAAAAACTCCGGACAACATTCGAATAATTGGCCGGTTACTATAGTGAAACTTTTTAATTCATATAAAATCAAAATTTAGCTAAGCGATATAAACAAAGCAAAATACTATAAAATTATATTATACTTTTACAAACAAAATTTTTTGTTATATATGCTTAAGGCATAAGCAATACTGAATTTAAAATCGAAAAGGTATTATTTTTTTTTTTTTGAAATTTTTTTTTTTTTTTGATTAACTATTTAACCGGAAACTGGAATTTCCTCATAATCTTCCCATTCATGATTACCAAGAAGATCTTCCAAGGAATCGGATACCACTTCAGTCTGACTAAAGATCTTTTCAAAGAATTTAACAGCTTCTTCCGACTTCTTGTATGATATGTGATGTGTCACCTGCTTTGACTTTTCTTCTTCCACGGCTTTTCTGAATCGTTCTCGTATATTATCTGATGCCAATCGCATTTTCTTGCGACCTTGTCTTACAATGCGATTTGATTGGGAGTTCACGTAATCCGAACGTTTTAAATAGCAACGAATTTTGCGAGAAACTTTACGGGAAATCACACGTTTGGTGTCATAAAGTACATAGGTAGCAATACCGATCCCTGTAAAATGATATTAATATAATATATTAATAAAAGAATATATAAAAATAAATATTAAAGAAATATCAAGTAAAGTATACAACCAGCTAGTCCAACTAATGGCAGAACTAATCTTCGCATGTTATTAAAACCTAAGAAGTAAGTTACATCCCACAAATACGAAAGGGCATTCAACTTTGTTGCGGTACACATAACAGCTGCACCAGTTAGACCTACCATACTCAATTCTTCACTAAATCTATCGTTCAAATTAAAATCAAAGAAGTCGGAAATTTCGATATTAATCGAGATGGGCGTTCCATGTTTAACAAACATTTTATCGAGATTAATTTGTTTAGCTTCTCCTCCCAAATCTCTTCCAAGATCTTGGATTGACTCAATACATTTTGCGGTCTGCTTTTTAGCATTTACTTCCGAAGCTAAAACTTCTCTATAAATATCATCCAACATAGAATCACGAAGGTCGTTCGCATAACTCCAGATATAAACTAATCCATGATATTCGCAAGAAGTAGATTTGTCAACGTTTTCGATGGCTCTTTCCAAAGATTTTCTGGTAAAGTCTCCTATTTCTTCACAGGTGCGATTTTCTACATCATCAGCAGTTGCGACAGCTACCTTTTCATCAGCAACCAACTTATTCAGAGCTCGCTCTGCTTCCTTAAGCTCCAAATCTGCCTTATAATTTTCTTGATGGGCAATATTCTTGTTATACTCAACCAATATGCCAATATCGGTGACCAAATTGTCAAGGTAATGTTGAGCAGGTGCAAGTTTCGATTTCGATCGTTTTTTCAATACAAAGGTACGTAAAGACTCTTCGAGACGGGAAAAATCTTCAATACTCTTTATATCGTTGACATTTTGATCGATAGCACTGGAATGACGAGACGAATGGTTAACATCATCATCCTTTTCAACCTTTATGGCTGTAGATGTAACGAAATGAACCAAATCTTTTGCATGTTCATGAGTTCGTGGAGAAACCTCTTTGATTTGTTCCAAAATCGCTCGTCTACATTTTTCTTGCTGTCGAATGTTGTCAAACCTATTAACAACTATGAAAAGATAAGCTTTCTCATTGGAAGCGTTAGACAAAAATTCTTTAGCAGACAAGGTAAAATGATTTTCGGCGCTAACGACGAAAATGATTACGTCAATCTCTTCTTGTCTAGCAAATAATGCCGTGGTTTTGAGTGTATCCCTATTCAAACCGGGACAATCAATCAATGCGATATCAATGATTCCATTATGCAATAAACTTTCTTGAGCGTTTCGACGATCCTTTGTATATACTTTTAATTGAGCGTACTCTCCCGAATCTTCATTATTAACAATCGTTTCGTTTAAGTCCTTCCATTCAATAACCGTATAAGTTGATGCGTCGGTTCTTTTGTATGAAGTAAAATCTTTGATAGCGTGTATTTCCTCTGCACCATCGTTTTCCTGGACATCAAGTACTTCGCAGAATAAAGTTGTACATGGTTGTTGGTCAACAGGCATTACCTCTCTCTTCAGGAGGGCATTTACGAATGTACTTTTTCCGGCATTCACGTCACCTGCAACCAAAACTTTGGAGCTAGTGTCGGAAATTCTTGCATGAAGATTTTCACATCGTTTAATAATATTAGCGAAGCAACCATCTAATAAAGTAGCAATTGCGTCTTTTTTCAGATCTCCAAAGACAGTCTCGGCAGAAGACGTATCCCCTTTTTTCAAATCAAGTTTGAGAACATTTAATTTTGAATTAAATTCTTGAGATGCTGACATGTCAGATTGAAACTGCAATCGATCAGTAACCTTTTGCTTAAATTTGCTCATTTCATTTTGGTTACTAATTATCCTATGACCAATGTCATTATACAATGGACTTTGCATTTCAGGCGTTTGAGAAACAAAAGGATAGTGTAAGTCCCATCGTTGTTTGTTGGTTTCACGGACTTGTTTAAGGATTGAACAAGAATCGTTCAAAAGACCCATAAGATTCTTGGATTTTTGCGCATAAGCCTGGCTACACTTTAACATGCCATTATGTATGTTTGAGTTCTTTTGTTCGGTTAGAGGTGAGGAGGGAGCAGAAGATGTATTTGACTTCATATTACCATGAAAAGACTGTAATTTTGACAAACCATTTTCTGAAGGTTTTGAGTATTTTTGTTTGTTTTTTGAAAAAGAAGGGCTCACAAATGACGAAGACATTTTGAAACTTTGATAAAGAATATATCTTTATTATATATATATAAAAATATATAAGTCTTTAATTCATCAGTAGAGTTACAAAAAATAGTCGAGCCCCGACGGAAAAAAAAAATAGCGATAGAGATTTTGATTATTTTTTTTTGTATATCACGTGTTTACGACCAAAACTAGACATGCGCGAGGATTTTACCTGCTTATATACGTGTTTTTTGAAAGCATAAAATGTAGGCTGTTTGACCTAATTTAGAAGATCATCATATTATTCTAGATCGGCACGGGTGAAGCCGCATGATTTAATGCTGATCAATCTTTGATCTCTAAAACGTTTCGAGAAAATCTTTATTAAATAAATGGTATAGCTTATGTCAAATTTTAATAATAGAAGAGAACGACCAAAGTTGATAATTTTAAAAAATAAAAATAAAATAAAATAAAGATTTGACTCATTTCAAACGTAAATGAATCCTTTTATTCGTAATATAAAACTATTGTTGTTGTTTCCCTCGCATTTTGTCTGCTACTAATTCTCTAAAATCAGAAATTATCTTATTTTCTTTCTTGGCTTTTTCCTCTTGATTAAACAACATTACCGCTCGTTTCTCCTCCGCGGATATAACTTGATTTTCTTTACGAATACGAACAGCATTCATGCGCCTATGACGACTACCGCTCATAACATAACCAACGTCCTCAAATGATTGAATTTCATTACTTGTTAACCCAATTTCACCACGACGTGGTATACGTTTTCCTTCTTGAACATACGCTGCCATAGCCGAACCTTCTCCTGCAAGCAATGCTCCACCATAATCTCTTTCTCCTAACTTTGGTTCATTAACTGGTATAGGTAAAGGTCCTACTATTGAATCTTCCTGCTGATGTTCTAACCTTTTTTCCACAATTTTTTCTATCTCGTTATCGATATATGGAACCTCTTTAAGACCTTGAGATCCTTGATCTTTAACTGAACTTTCTTCATGATCAGTTTCACTGTCACTTGAAGGACTGCTATGTTGGTGTTTCTTTCGTTTTTTATGTCGTTTTGAACTTTTTTTATGTTTTGATGAATGATGTTCTAATTTAGATTCGGATTTTTTATGTTTTTTCGATTTAGACCTTTTCTTCCTATCTTCGCTATCCGAATCACTAGTTACATAACGAGATCTTTTTTTATACCGCTCCACCGAAATTATTGACTCATTCTCAGGTGAGGAAGGCCATATTGAATAAACAATTTCTTGCCTACGACGTTTTCTTTCGAGAAAAAAATCTTTATCGGGAACTCTTCCTGCAAAATCACGTCGTCTACTCATCTTCTTGCAGTTTAAGATTGAAGGATTGCTTTTTAATATCGTATGTTAACATAATGATCACGTGGATCACTTATATATTTCATAATGTTACACTGAAACTCTAAAATAGCTTAGTATATATGATTGCATGGCTAAATATATTTGTCATCTTTCCCAAATTAGAAGTTACATTTAATATATTTATTTTACAATGAATTCAACGACGAATACTGAGGAGCAATATTATGACGATTTATACTTCGATTCAGATTCAGCAGACGAAGAGACGGAGAATTCAATTAAAGGTGTTACTATAATTCTTCGCAATTAGACGCATAAAATCAACTTATTTCTAAATTGCAATATATAAATAAATTTTAGAATCAAAAAAAATTTTAAAACATGAACAAAGAAAAAAATTGACGAATGATGAACTTTTTTATGATGAGAAATTAGATGATGACGATGAACTTTGGATGGAAAAGAAATTGTCTCGTATGTGTTCACTCTTTTTTTTTTTAAAAAAAAAAGAAAAACTCAATTTCACTCATAGTTACCATTTTATATAGAGCATGCATCAGATGCTATCTTGTCCTGTCCCCTATGCTTTACTCCATTGAGTTATCACACACAAAAGTAAACGAACAAAGTTTCCATTTGGAATTGAAATACACTTTCCTTATTTTTTTCAATCAACTAATCATAAGTTTCAAATTATTAAAGACACGAACTTTATTCAAATCAATATCGAGCAATTTTTGTGGAAAATTGTAAAATCATTAAAACAGAGAAACTGTTGTATGATGAAAGTAAACGAAAAACTAAAAAGCGTCAAAATGGAGATAATTCATCGAATGGATCCAACGCTAAGCAAGAATCTTATTATCCCGTCGAATGTAAAACTTGTGGTACCAAAGTTGCTGTTATCGATGAAGACGAAGTTTTTCATTTTTTTAATGCTATTCCTTCATAATAAAGATTTTAATCTCTTCAAATCATTTATCAGTTTTTAAGTACATAATAATATATATGTTATTTATCAAATTTTTGACGAGATGAGATCTTGTCTAATTTAAATACGTTGCATCTTTTTTAATTTGTTCTGGGCACTTAAAAAATTCAATAAATTCAATAAAAATTTAACCATTCATATAATCATATAATGTCGTTTCGCTGTCTTTACATTATTGTTTTTTTTTTCAAAAATAAAAATAAAAAAGTAAATGTCTCCAAATCGTAAAGATTAAGCAGGATGAAAAATAATAACTTTAAAATAATAAATGCAATCCATGATTTATTAACAAAAAATGGTTTTTGGTTTAATAAATAAACTAATAAAGAGAATAAATTTAATATAATATGTTGAATTAAACGAAAACAAAAAAGGCATAGCAACAGGCAATTAAATAAAATTAAAAATACTACAATGATTACTTTACGATAATAATAAAAATAAATATACAAAATGAAATGTATTTTCTAGATAATTTTACCATTCTAATTTTTTATCACCACATCCAACGTCAGCACATCCATCATTTATTTTACCCAAAATTTCTATCCTAGCTTTATCTGATCGTTGCAAGAATCTGCTCTTTTCATGTTTACCATTCTTGGCAACTTTCCATTTACTTGTTCCAAGTATTCTATCAAGTTCTTGAACTGGTGGTAGATTTAACCAAATGTAATCATCCTGGATCTTGACTTCAAAAGTCATAAGCTTAAGATCTACATCACCGGATATACATTCGCCTGTATCCAATGCAAAGTTTTTCTTATGCATTGGGCAGCTCACTTTTAAAATTCCATTTTCATCGTCTCCCACCAATCCTTGAGATAATACAAATGCACGCTTGTGTGGACACATATTTTGCGTTGCGTACCAATTTGTACGTCCATGTGTATTAAATATTGCAATCTGAGTGTCACCATATTTTATAACTTGACCTGCGTCATTTGGGAAGGCGCTTAAGAGAGAGATTTTGACCCATGACTTATCAGTAAGCGATTTGTTGTCGGGAACAACAAGATCATCGTTGAATTGTTTTGGCCAGTCCGCAGGTCGTTGCTGACCGCGTTCAGTTATGTATTCAATTCCATCGACCGTTTCATCTGTATTTACAAATTGAACAAAGTCCTCACGTCTTTTTGGATCGTTAACAACCCTAGTCCACTATTGAATTAACATTAAATAAAAAGAAATTGATCAATTATTCATCAAATATGATAAATCACACACTTGGTAAATAATGGGTTGATTTAGTTAAAATTTATGATTTACGTACCTCACATTCATAAGTGTAAATCAAACGAGCCATATCTTCTTCTAATTCAGCACAAATGCCGAGATGATCATCAATGACAATTTTTTTAAGGTACTAAACAGAAAAGGGAAAGGTGCGTAAATAATAAAGAATGTATAATAATAAAGACAATACGTATGCTAATGAACTTACTTCAATTCCACCGTCCATTTTTTCTAACCATCTAGCCGTACGTGTCAATCTATCTGCCGTGTGAATATAATACATCAAAAATCTATCTACATACTTAATTGCTGTTTCTTCCGAGATATCCCTCGCTAATAATACAGCATGTTTTGGTTTGGCACCACCATTTCCACAGACATAAAGGTTATAACCATTTTCTGTAGCGATAAGACCAAAATCTTTTCCTTGGGCCTAGAAGAACGATATAAAAGATTTCTTAAAAAAAATTGTCGGGGAATTCGATTACGAAAAGAATACAAGTCATGTAACTTACCTCCGCGCACTCCCTAAGGCAACCTGAGTTTGAAATTAAAAGATTAACGGTTAAAATCAATAATGTACCAAATAGTCCGAAAGAAAAAAAGGGTTGACAACTTACCCGATACTGCAGCTTTTATCTTATGTGGTGCTCTTATTCCTTTATATCGATCTTCAATAGCAATTGCAAATCCAACAGCGTCACCCATACCATATCTGTTTTTTGTTTAATATGAAAAGAAAAAAGTCAGGATATTTGAATTAATTTTTAACATAAAAATCATTATAATACTTGCCGACACCATTCGCTTCCCACACTAATAAAATGTGTGATGGTTTTGTTAGTATAAATAATATTAAACGAAAACAGGGTATTAATTATTAAACGATTATGTTAATAATTTACCATGATTTTACGGTTCTCAGGGCTTTTCCATAAGCATGACCAGATTCAAAACCGGCGATAACAAGTTCTTCCCAAATAGCAGGTAAATCTTGTTTTTTAGCACCGAAAAGGTCAATTCTTTGACCACCTGTAATCTTTGTGTATAACCCATATTTTTTGGCAACTTGACCGAGCACAACAAGTTTTTCCGGTGTAATTTCACCTCCAGGTACTCTAGGGACAATAGAATATAATCCACCACGTTGGATATTAGCAAGGTAACGATCATTTGTGTCTTGTAAATTGGCATGGTTAAGAATATGATCGTTCCATAAACTAGCCAAAATTGACGCGACGGCTGGTTTACAAATTTCGCATCCATGAGTTCCTTTTTTGCCAACCTTCTCGACGATGTCTTTAAAAGTGGTCAACTTTTTTATCTTGACGACTTGGAATAACTCCGCACGCGTTAGGCTGAAATGAGGACAAAGAGCATTCGTCACCACGTGACCTAATGCCTTCATTTCGACCTGAAATATTTCTGTGACGGCCGGAAGACATCCACCGCAACCCGTACCAGCTTTTGTACATGATTTAATTTGACCAATAGAATGACATTCCTCGTTCTTAATGGCTTCTCGAATTTGACCTTTTGATACATTGTTACACGAACTTTATAAAAAAAAAATTTTTTAAATTAAAATAAAGTTATAACAATGATTTTCAAATTTTCCAATAATTGAAAGCTTACCAAATTTGAGCTTCATCAGGAAGCTCATCTGCACCTGGAGCTTGTCCAGATTTAACACCAAGGATAAGTTCACCAGGAGGTGTAGTTAAAATTTTCTTTGATTTCATAAGAGCGTGAAGTTTGGCGTAATCGTCAGTATCACCGACCATGATACCACCAATCAAGTACTTTCCATCCTTTGAGAATAATAATTTTTTGTACACAGAACCAAAGGGATCGTTATATACCAAGGGCATTGCCGCATCTTCCTTGGCAAAATAATCACCAAAACTAGCGACATGAACTCCCAAAAGTTTAAGTTTGCTCGACAAATCACCTCCCAAGAACCTTTTTTCGTCGCTATTGGTGGCCAAATTACTTGCAACAACTTCAGCCATATCATAACCAGGCACGACAAGTCCATAAATCATACCGCCGTACAAAGCCACTTCACCAATTGCGTAAACGTTATGATCACTTGTTCGCAAGTAGTCATCAACAAATATCCCACCCCGTTGATGTGTTGAAATTCCCGATGCCTTGGCAAGCTCATCACGTGGACGAATACCCGCAGCAACGATCACCATATCCAATGGAATTGTTTCGTTCTCAAATCGGATTCCCGAAACCTTCCCTTCTTCGTCCGTGGTAATTTCCTTTGGTGGTATACCGAGAATACATTTGATTCCAAGTTTTTCGATTTCATTTTGAAGCATTTTTCCTCCTACGGTATCCAATTGTCTAGCCATCAATACTGGAGCCATTTCAATAATTGTGACATCCAATCCCAAATCCATTAGAGCTTTTGCGGCTTCAAGACCAAGTAAACCACCACCGATTACGGCACCACGTTTGGACTTTTTGCTATAACTTATGATATCAGTCAAATCTTTGATGGTACGGTATACAAATACACCCGGTTTATCCCAACCAGGGATCGGCGGTACAAATGCATAGGATCCCGTGGCCAATATACACGTATCGTAAGGCACAGATATTCCACTTGCAGAGGTTACACATTTCGTGGTTGTGTCGATTTTGGTCGCCTTTTCGTTTGTGCGAACGATCACATTATTTTCTGAATACCAGCTTACAGGTTGCATCAACATTTGTTCTTCCTCTCGATGAGAAAAATATTGAGTCAATCCGACTCTGTTATATGCAACTTTTTTTTTTTAAAAAAAAAAAAATTAATCATCCAAAACGATTCGATTTAAAAAAAAAAAATAATAAAAAACATATTTTTACCTTGAGGTTCTTCACAGAAAATTTCTACCCTAAATTGGTTATTTTTGTCATACTTTAATAATTTTTCAACAAATGATAAGGCGACCATACCAAGACCGCAGACTACTACGGTCCGTTTATCGTCAACTGGGGCGACTACTTCATTAGGTGCCATTATATGATTTATTACAAAATTTAAGAAAGATCAAAAAAAAAAACAAGAAAATGGTGAGGAGAAAAAAAAATTTGACACTAAAATAGGGATGTGAATAATTTTTTTTGTTGTGACCCAATTTATATAAGGAAAAAAAAAAAAATTTCAGACAACCTAAAATAAAATTTGTAATTGGATATTCGCGATTTAATTGATAAGAGAAAATATGAAATTGAAAAATGCGTGATAATCTTATCATAAGATCGGTTAACTTGCTGATAACGAAAAAAATTAAAATTTATTAGAAAGCGAACGGCAAAGAACGGATCAGCATATAACGAAAATTTTCTTTATTTACTATATTTATGTAGTATATATTTGTATAAAATCTCTTATCTTGGTGTTCCCTGTGATAAGAGTTATCATTAAATGGTTAGCGTATCACCACTTTTTTTTTTAGTCAAAATTAATGGAGTAACAGAATGTAAGTGCAGCTGAATGCATAAGATGTACAAATATTTTCGTTTCTCGTTATCTGGAAAAATAGACAAAAAAGATAGGCCTAATCATCAGATAAATTCATCAATTCATCTCATCATGCAGTCGGATTGAATTTTGATCAGAATACATTTCAACTTTGAAATAGGAAAAAAAAAAAAAGTGCCAATTCAAAAAAAAACATTGTTGAAGATCAATTTTAATAAACATAGTAGAGATCTGCCGAACAAATTTGTTATCTATTTAATTTTGTGTTTCCGATATGATGTTATCTTTTGATAAGGAAATTTTTAAAGAATCAATTTATTGTGGTTACTATTAAAACAAAATAAAATAAAAATAAACAACCCCAAATAGATTTTCCTGTTTTCAAAATACAACAAAAATCATTAGAAATATGATCTGTTCAAGACAATTATTTGTTGAATGATAATGTTTGATCTTGCTTCCATACATATATCATATTTGATTGAATCTCCGAACATACAACGAATCTTAAAAAATATGAGATTCTTTATATTAATATATTATAGGATTGATAGATTCGATGTTTTGAACCCGACTTATATATTTATTTATTCATGTCAAAGTGGAGCAATTACGCCAACATAAAAAGGTCTATAGTATAAAGCACGTGTCATCTATTTCTATGATCAGAAACCTAGGATGCTGACAATTGGAATAAATTTAGTTCAATAAAAAGCTGTCAAAGAAGCATTCAAAAAGGCGTATGTTTTTATCAATAATAGGTCCAAGATGCAAAATGATGCATTTGCGAATGTTTAGAGGCAACGATGGATCTTATGTAAGATATCTATTCGTTCCTCTTTTTCGAATATTTAGATCTTATCGTTAGAATTGAGATCTTTGACAGCCTTATCGATTTTTAATTATAGGAATTGATATTTATGGAACTTGCAAATATGTGTGTTACCACGCAATGATAACTTTATTCAAGTTAGCAAAAATAAGAAAGGGTCGATTCTTCTTATCCTGAAAGTTTTGTATTGATATATATGAATCAAGTTCATGGATTGGGTGAATCTCGGTATGGAATGGTACGTGCCAACTGTCACTACTAATATCATTCGTGAACTTATATATAACACCCGGTTGGGGATTTTTTAAAAGAACTTGAATCTATTGTTCAACTTTTAAATACTAATCTCTTTTTTATAGAGCTAAGTCACAAAGTATTTATTAATAAATTTAGGAAATTCATATCTTAATCTTTTATATTAATAAAACATACTAATTCTTTTTTGAATTAAAGCTGTTCTAATATAATCTTATCGTTTAACTATAGTACTCTATATTCGATGATTTACAATCGTAGCTATATACTACGCTCCCTATGTATTTGATTTTGTATCTTATAACTAGCGAGTTAGTTCTTTTTTCCCACATATTTAATGCATATCAGAAGCGAAATGCGTAATTTGTCATACAGAGAATGATGATCATGATGAGAAGATATAATTTTTTTAATAAAAAAAGCATAAATGATTGATTTGAAGATTTTTAGTATATGTTTTTTTTTTGATATGGTATATTTTTTTTATAATTAAATTAAAGATTATGATAAGCAAATTATGATTTTAGTTAAATAATTTATCTAATAAAAGATCTTAATATTTAAAAAGGTATCAGTTAGATAATGTAATGCTTTATCATTTTTATTTACAAAATGAGCATTTTATGATCGAAAATTATAAGGATTTAATCATGAAATGTTATGTAATCTTTGATATTCTAGGATCATATCCTGATCTGTCATGAATGCTAACCTATCAAGATGGGAAATCTCAACATTATTCCAGGTAGAGCATCTGCTAAGGGCGACATAGACTTGATCTACAGAGCAGATATTTTGATTTAAAGTAAGAGAAACATTTGGTAAGTTAAGCCTTGTGTCTTATGAACAGTCAGAGCAAAGCAGTTCTGTAGTGAATATTGAGTTCTGTGACAGTTATTTCCAAATAGTTGAAAGTGATATGTTTGTTTGTAAATGGTTGTATCTATTATCGAACCTCTTACAAAAAATGCGACTCGAACAGAATGATCGATAAGATTTAAATCCATAATAATCCCAACTGTTCCATTAAAAATTCCTTGTTCAAATAAAGAGTTATTAAGACACATGACATGAGTACCTGGTTGTAATCTTACAGAAGAAGGTAAATTGGTTTTACTTTTAAAAGAGCTTTCAGAAAAGCAAGAATCCCACAATGTGGAATTTACTAATCTACAGCTTGTGATATAAAGAATTTTCCTTCAGGAACAGGTAATATATTACAAATTATTCAATTAATTTGCTGAGCATTTTCTCTAAAGCTGACAATATTAGTAGTGTTGAGAAGTGTATCGATTGCTGAACGTGATAAAAATTCAGAATGTTTTTGACTGAGTATCTGCCATGTTTCAGCAGATATATTACCTATCTGAACTTTTTGTAATATTTGATAGAATCTGCTATCAGATTGTTGACGTTGTGAAGTTGTTACGAATAAGGGATAGAATAAAGTCCAGATCATTGAACGAAATACAGGTTGACCTGTAATAAACGGTAATTGAGCAAGATCACCTACTACAATCACATTTATTCCACCAAATGGGATAGTATTATTGTTAAGATTGGTAAAAAGATTAGATATAAAATCAAAGAGCTGTGCTAAAACCATTGAAATTTCTTCGATGATGATAGTATCAATTACTTTTAATGGTTCATTTAATTCTTTATCAATATATGCACGTGTATAAAAGTTATCATAATTTAAAATAATCTGCAATGCAGAATGGATGGTTTTTTCTCCCACATTTTGGGCGGCAACACCAGTAGGAGCCAGGAGAAGATATTTAGATTTTTCTGTTTAAGAGTATTTATCAGCAAGTTTATAATATATGATTTACCCGTTCTTACAGAACCTGTAATAAAATAATATGGCCATTTGATACCATCATTTGGGCTAAGATATGAAGAGATTGTTAATAAGAAATAATACTGATCTTCTGGTAAATCAAGTATAGCAATTTCAGGTAATACGTGAGGAAGCATCTTGATATTTTCTAATTATAATCTTATAATATCCTAAATTGTTGTTGAGAGTTTTTGATGTAATGATTGTAGCAATTTGTCTAGCATTTTAGCAAATTGATTATTAAGATAAGTGATACGTGAGTAAGGTTGCTTGTCTAAACTCATTTTGGATTTGGCAAAACGGTAAAACCTTTAGTTTTGCTAAATTTTTACTAAGTGTTTGATATAGTTTCGCCATTTTTATAAGCTTTGATATAGTTTTGACTTTTTCCAAATTTCGCAGATTTTTTAATAAGGTTTTAATATAATTTAACCAAGTTTTATTTTTACCATTTAGATGTCTGTCTAAACTCTATTTTCGTCCAGCAACCTTATATGTGAGTGATGGTTATTTGTGGTTTGAATTTGTAAGGTTGTCAAGAAATCAGGAAATAATGACAAAAATTTTTGTCGGTATGTTTCATTAGATCCTATTCTATAATCAGATTCATCTCTTGCAGGTATGGTAAAAAAAAGTTTCTGATAAAAGTATAATTCAGCATCTTGAAATTTAAGAAAATGATACCTCACTATTATTTCTTTAGATCATTTTACAACATAATTATTTAATTGATCATGAAAAATCGATCAATTAGTTAAAAGTCTTGAAAGAGAGATCAAATATCTTTTAAAATATTGAGGATAAGTAAGTGAATCAAATTCAGGAGAGATAGGTCGTGCCACATATTTGGTTATGGTATCATCATAATAAGGGCTTTCATCTTCTTCATGTATTAAATAGACAGGAAGCATCAGACAAGATCTTGTATTAGGAGATTCAGTGATGAGAAATTTCACAATACTTGATGAATTATAGATTTAATAACCTAAAAGTAAAAACATCAATTCCATAGAGCTGAGCCTTTGTGCAATCACATGTTCTCTTAATGTATCTCCATCTTGTATGTTAAATGCATAAGAGGATTCTCTTTTAACGATATATTTTACCATATATCGAGTGAACCCTCCATCAGTTATATACTGAATATTCATGTGAGCATCCCATAATAAGAGAATAGCAGGGTAATAAGGGACCATCCATGAATCTGCATCAGTCAAACATTTGTAAATATAATGGGAGGCTTCTTCTTGATAATGAGTTATTTGACTATAAGAACTTGGAAAACTTTTTTACATGTCTGACCTTGTGAGGCAGGACCTTGACATCTATGATTACAAGTATGTATTTAATTAGCTATCACAGAAGCATATAATTCAGGCTTGTATAGAGGATCAGGTATTGTTAAGTGGATGACATCATTTGCAATCATATTTGAAATAGGATTATCAGTTCAATAACAGCTATGAGTATATGTTATATCCTTATTTTAAAATCCAACTCAATCAAAAAAGTCTGTGATCTTGCCAAATCCTATAAGTTTAGGTTTTTTATATAATTCCTTTTTTAGAGACCGAAATTTGTGAACAAAATAATTTGCACAATGATAAGGTCTATTTGTTGTTAACAGATCATTATTATCTGTATTAATGAGTATATTATGAAGATGAGTTCAACTTCCTTCAGCCATGGTCAAGGTTATGAATAATGATGGTAAACCAGATTTTTTCAGCATTATGTTAAAGTGAATTTATTTGTGATAAAAGTAAGTATCTTCTGTGTGTATAAAGGTAGGCAGGAAAATTGTTTTAGTTTCATATAATCTCAGATATCTATTATATTTACTAGATTAGAGTAATTGCCTTGCGGTAAAAAGATTGTTGATGTTAGGATTGATATTATTTTGTCTTAAGAATCATTGAGTATTTTGATGATGTCTCAGTTTCTCTAATTGCAGATATAACCAAGAAGGTTAGTGATGATAAAGCCTCCATCTTGATTCATAATTCATTAATTGTTGTCTGATATATTTACCATAAGTTTCTTCTCTCATATCATCATCTGTGATGTCTGATTGATCTAGCATATCATGAAAGTGACCTTTTTCACCTGTAAATAGATCAGGAAAAATTAATAGTTCTAGATTAGGATCATATGTAACAATAAGAATACGTAATGTATCACTTTTACAGACGAATCCTGCTATTAATCTAGAGTAATAGAAGTCTTCATTGTAAACTTCATCTGGAAAGTTCAAATTGGGAACTATGATATCTCGAGTGTTTACAGGTGGGATATCAAGATCAGTAGGAAAATGTGTTGCTCTTGAAAATGGTTGATTTCTTGCTGTATTTTGTTTATCACGTGATGTTAATATACTAGCATAAGGTTGAAAGTATAGATTATTATTCGCTAACTAAGCTGCAACGTATTTTAGAATTTGATCATGAATTGGATCATTATCTAGATATCTTAAGGCAGTTGATTAATTAATATCATTTGGTTAATCCATGAATACGTCTAAAATTTCAGAATATAACGCATGCGTTCTAATGTTACAAGAGAATTTATTGATCTAGTCAAGCATCTATATTCTAAGAAGAGGTTGCTATTTGGAGTCCTTTCTAACAAACAGTGTAAATAAACCAGTGAGAGATATTTCCTCTTATGCAAGCGAACTGAAAGGATTTCTTGTGGTATATTGAACAGATAAGGGAATGTAAACCTTATAGAAGGCTACTTGCATGATTCACAGGTAGGTATTCTTAATTCATGGATACGATTGGTATTTAGGTTGAATGATAAGGTAATGTTTGAAATGCATTGTTGTAATGGGTAGGTGATAGATGGGTTGTAAAGATCTATGAAGCTTTTTCTGGATTTAGGAGCCTTCCGCAATAAATACAAGTGATCTAAGGATATTATTCCAAAATGGTATTTTGAAATCTGTCATAAAGTTTTTGCAGCATGATCGATAGTCTCTAATGTGTGATGATTGCATTTGAAGGCTGAGAGGTGATTGGTGTGATGTGGGCTGAAGTGGATCCAGGTGGGAGGATATTAGGATTACTCAGTGTGATAGATGTGATGTTTGTTGTGGTCTAATTGAGTGTCATTTCGTATTCGTTATCAAAGGTGTAAATTGAGTTGATTTGATAGAACATGATGAAGGGATTTGAAATGAAAAAAAAGGCAATTTTTTAATAAAGTATTTTTTATTTATAGTAGAATACTAAGGATGTAATAGAAAGGGATCAATTAATTATATTCACTTTATTAACAACTTTGTAAATAATTATAAGATTGCGAAATCGGGTTAAAATGATGATCAATATTTAATTATAAGTACATTTTATTTAAGGTTAATAAAAAAAATTTTATAAATTTTTTTATTATTTAAATTGAAGGGTTTTGAACAATATATGTAATGGTGAAATAAAATTTTATCCCTTAGATTGTCTAGCAGGCAAATTTGCCTGCGAAATTAAAAAAAATTGTTAATTTCTTTATAAAATATTAA